GGGAGGGGGGGCGGGGCTGGGCCACACTCTCACTCCCTGCGCTTTTGCCTTCGCGGGTTTTGCCGCGGTTTTGCTGCCTTAGGAAGGCTCCACCGGCGCGATCCTCTGCTCCGGAGCCCTTCGCCTCGGTGCTTCCACGTGTACACATGCATACACATACCATGCAATACACATGGAACAAGAGAGTAAGATTTGAACCTGAGGAAGGCTCCACCGGCGCGATCCTCTGCTCCGGAGCCCTTCGCCTCGGTGCTTCCACGTGTACACATGCATACACATACCATGCAATACACATGGAACAAGAGAGTAAGATTTGAACAAGCAATATGCAAGAAAGTGTAACATACGGACTAGTGCTCCAAGAACAAATGGCTGGTCAATTATTGCCTAGCCAGATGCAATCAGTAGCGTACAGAATTAGCAAAATGCTTTTGCATACCTGTAGTGTCTTCTGATTCTTACTGAAATGATTTGTCTTTCTGATATCTTTGGTCAAATCAAGGGCTTATAGTCTTTCCAACATACACTGATTACTGTTTGTACAAAAGACTGTGCTAAGTGCAGTCACTGATTAATGAAGCGGACTGACAATAATTTGTGATATATTTAGAACAAGTCTGAGATGCATTTTCTTCATGGTAAATGAGATCTCCCCACAGGAAAAAAAGCAAATTTGTTTAGATACCAGAAAAGTATTTTAATTTCTCTCATATTCGGTAGTGTGTGTGTTTGTATATATATACACACACACATATATATGTTTGTTGTTCCACTATGATGATGTAAAGCACTTGAGAAACATGTTTCCCATGTTAATTACAAACCATATTAAATAAAAATACTAGACAACCATTTTAATCTGGAGTTCATATTTTCTTCAACCTAGAGGCTATAGTTTGTTCTGAAAGCAAGTTCTCATACAGAGCCGGTTTATGAGATTTGAATTGCTTGTTTCAAGTCATCTGATAAGCCTATGAACTAGCTACATAGTGAAGGGGAATAAAAGGATTTTTAAGTACAGAGGTATAATGAATCATGCCTATTTATTAGTCATCCTAATGAATACCTGCAAATTATTCTGCAATAAAGTTATTTTAACAAATTGGAGAACACAGACATATGTCAGTTACTGGGACAATTGCACAGTTTACTGTCAAGCAATTCTAGTAATTATTTAAATTGGTGATTAGATATCACATCGGCTGAGATATTTTAGAATTCCTTGAACTTCCAGTATGGAAATTTACTGTGTATAATTACATTACTGAGAAATATCCATACAGTAAATGAATATGCAGATCTCTATTTAGCAACCATAATGCATCTATATTTACTAGCTCATTTGTTTACACATATTCATGCTGTTTGCAGAAGGCCATTAGCTCTAATTTTCAACTTGTTTTCTAGCAAAAAAGTCAAATTTACAAGAAAGGAGTGAGACTGAACTGCTAAAAAAAATAGCAGCATTAAAGGAGTTTTTTTAGGGTGCTTAGCAGGTTACAGTCCATGACTATGGCTCCCAGCAATGCTTCTTAAACACTGTCAATTTGATTTCTCAAATAAAGTCAGCAAGAAAATACTAAAATCCTTTTGAAATACCATATTTTCATATAATTCTCTCGTAGAAACATTTTTGTAAAGTCTTGCACTTTTTTTTTGTTGGTACAAGCTACAGACAAAGCACAGATAGTAATTTTAAGCTTATTAGCAAAATTACCTAACCTCACACTATGACCATTTCTTGCTGTACTTAAACTGCACAGATGTTGAGCAGAGGCCATACCTTTTTTCAGAAACTTTTGCCATCGTTTTTAATACAAGCATAGTTGGTAAAAGTTCTAATGTATTTTAAAATAAGCCTTCATTAATACACACATGTTAATGATAGCAATAGTCTAACACATTTTAGGCCATAGACAAAGCTATTTTAAAAGCTAAAGCCCTTCCTTTTGTTTAAGGAGAAACAGAAGCCCACCGGGGGAGTAGGCCTTCCTTCAAATAGCCAGAGAAAACACATAATAAACCTACACTTTTCATCTTGCAGAAGGAAGCTGAAATATACAGCATAACTCAGAAAAAACACAGCATAGTTCAGGATGAAGTATTTACTGTACCATATTATTCACAGAAAGAGTTCCCTGTAGCAATTACAAAACAAACTGCAAGATATTGAACTTAAGAAAATATAAAACATGGTCAAAGAAATAGTAAAGCAGGGAAGACATAAAATTGGATGGAGTAAAGAAAAAGAAATATAAGCAAATATAAGGAATGGTTGTAACAGGACAAGAATTTAAACTTAGGTTCTTCAAATTTTCCCAGACGTTCATGGCTTGCAGTGCCCATAGCAGATACATGAGTAAGCACCTAGTGCTGCTCTCAAAGAGGTAGATGCAGAGATAAGATACAGAGGGTAACAGTATCCCTCTCCAGAGCAAACCACACAATTCTCCTTGGGCACAGAAGCAATAGCTCCCATGTTAAAATGTTCAGTTCCTTCAGGGTCACTTTTGTAGAATCATTCCCAAGATGAAAGAGAATTTCACATCACCTCAAAGGAAGAAAGTTATTTAGCTATGGAAAACTCGGGTATAGCAATATGGCTTGTGTAAGGCAACAAGAGAAACTTGTGCAGCTGGGGACAGAGTGTGGATTCTCTTCACTCCTAAGTTTTGCAGGAAGATGAGAATCCAATGATAACACACGGTCTTCATAGCTCAGACCTCCTTAAGCAAAACAAAACGAAACTCCAGTTTTAAACCGTGAAAAGAAGCCACGCTAAAAGGCAATAAAATTACTCCAGCTAATACAGTGAAGAAAAACCCAGCATTCCAGTAATTCAGAATGAATTCTGTTCTCTTGATATTCTCAACCAACGGATGTTTTAAGAGCATTTTCTGCAGAAAAGCAGTCCTGACAGATAGTTTTTGACTGACTGTCAAGAAAAAGAAAACAGAGCAATTTATATTAGAAAACCATAAGAATCAGTTCTCAGGTACAGATAAAAAGTTTACAAACTTTTCAAGGAAAGCTTTAAAATGTGCTGATAATAGAAGTATTAAAATGCCTATCTGATTTTCCACTGATTCATCCCTGAATGGACACTGGCTCACAGGATTAAAACTGTTTTCACAGTTATAACCAGAGGATTCAAATTTCCATCTGTGGGACTCATAAAACACTGTTTCAGTAGGCACTATATGGTTAGATGGATGAAGGTCAAACATATATATAAATTTCCCACTCTCCAAGTCAGACTTCTGAGAAAAATATACAGACCAAAATAAGTACATGCAATTCCCAGCAGCCAAGAGAATTATTTCTGAAAGCATTCTATTATTTTCCTAAATTTGATTTCCACTAAATCAGAGCCGAACTGACCAAACTGTCCAACTGAACACTGTTTGAATTAATACATGAAAAAGGTCTGGACTCACAATATTCACAGTGTCCAGAAAATAAAATCAGTAACAATCTGTGCCTAACATCTCAAACTGCAGCACTCATTTGAGGTAGGACTAAGCAGTAGCATGAAGAGAATGGGAAGAATCCTCCCTACAGCACCAGAGTACCTTAGCCGTTATTTTGATGTTGAAGGAACAAGGTAATTAGCACATCTCTGTCACTAGGTATAAGCATCAGAAGATTTGCAAAATAACCAGTCCACTAAACTCGTGTCCACTATTCCCTTGATAAATAGAAAAAGCTGGGCTCTTCAGGATCGTTTCTCTCAGAAACACAAGACTGACACTGTCTCCTTTTCATGGAAGGAGAAGACGGTCATCTGTCTACCTCTTGAAGAAAAAGTAGATCCTCATAAATTCCTGAAAGGAGTGGTACTTGTAATTAAAGGCAGGTTAGAAACTGTATAAAAATATTTAAGTGATTACCTCTCCTATAAAGACAACCATAACACAATCCAGTTTTTCTTCAGGGGACAGCTTATCAATAAGGGAGTGGAGAGTTTCTGTAAGGTAAGACTTGACTTTTCTTTTCACTGTAGGTATTCCCATTACAATGGAAACTGAAATCAAACAAACCAGAAATGTACTTTCAGTGATTTCATACACAAGACAGAAAACAAAAATCTTATCTCGTAATAAAGCATTAAGAAATGCAAAGGCTTAAAAGATGGAGATAACAGTAATTAAAAATAGTTTAAAAATATACCACCCATCATCAGAAGCATGATTAACATAACCATCACCAACACTCAGAGCAAACACAGCAAACAAAAAAACCCAGTAATCCTAGACATGCCAGACTATTGCATAGGTAATAATCAACAACCATGGTATTAATCAGATAAGCTGCACCAAGACTTGCACCAAGACTTACAGAGTGATTAAACTCCCTAACTTAGTTTTATTTTCAAATTGGCATAACCATTCTTCACAACTCAAGTAGTTAACTTCTCAGAAGTCGTCTTTTAAAAATGACACTGCTCAAAAAACCTCTATTACTTTCCTTGCACTTGATTTGGGTTCTTCTAGAAAAACAAGTCCAGGTCATCAGGATTGCCCAGAAATTTGTCACTGAAATCTCTTATCCCTGTTAAAAGCACCTCAAATGCAAAGCAATCTGGCCCCAGCTACAACGCTATTATCATTATCGAATTTCAGCTGGCCATCTGACTCCCGTGTTCCTTAACTTTCCCATAGTCTTTCTTCTGCACCCCACCCTGTACCCAGGGCTGGCTACCTACTACGAACACAGCAGACAGCAGCAGGAACACAGTAAAAGGATAAAGCAGACTTGGTGAAGTCAGCACCAGCATGCCAAGCCATCTGTGTGAAATGATTTACCACATCATAAATATATAAAATCAAACCACTATTAAAAAATGTTGTTTATCCTTCCTTATAGAGCCTGCTTTGCCTAGCAACTACACATTAACAAGCTCTGAATTTTTAAAACAAACATTCAAAAAGCACAGTGACCAGGAAAGGGGAAGATAGGAAAATAATTTTAACTCAGAATTTCCTCCCTCTTTTTAATTAAGAAAACCTGATTCCAATTTCTATTTTGTAATTTCAAACATCTGTCATATATTCCCAGTGGGATATAATACAGGCTTCACTTGAAACAATAAAAGAATATGAGCCTTTTCCTTCCTGAATAACAACATTGAAATAAACGGTGTTTATAGTCAAAAAAATAACCCTATGGCTTGAGCCCGCGTATTTGTCAGACAAGCATGCCTTCTGTTAAAAGAAGGAGCTATCAAATTTAGTGAAGTACTGAAAAAAATACAGTCCAGGAGTCACTAATGCTTCTTTCAAAAGCAAGGAGGGGGAGAAAATTAAAAAAGAAAGGCCTAGTGGACAGTAACATGAGCCATTCAAGTCAGATGGCACACAGAGAAATAAGGACTCATTGGTGAGGCCTTCAAGCTTAGACACACACACACGCGCGCGCTTTGAGGTATATCAGTTTGGTTGGGCTTCATGCTATTTATTTTCTAGAGCTCCAAGAGTGGGATTCCATGGAGCTATCCTAATGACCAAAGCTCAGAATTTGTGAGGATTAGGGAAAAAAAAGGGATCAACAGTATTGCAGCACAACACTGATTTTTTTTCCCCCCTCCAATGAATGTCCACATTTTATTGATGCAATTATATCTGATTATCCTAGTTCTCCCAACTCTAAGTTATACACTGAAATATATTGTTCAAAAAACCAGAAACATCAAATCTAAAATAATTATATCCATGCATGATTGCCCGACAAATCTGAAAAGCCAAAGGGATATGTCCATTAGCAGTTCAGAATCTGTTGTTCAGAATCTTGAACTTTGTTCCCTTTTACTTAGTTACAAAAAATTCATCCAAACTAAATGCTTCTTAATGTGTACCTTAACATGGGATGGGGTGTGATTGAGATTATGCAGAAAAGAGCAAAGCTGAAACCAAACTCCTTTCATCTTGGATTCAGTGCAAATTCCAAGAGATATCAATATCACACAAGTTAAATGAGATGTCCTTGATCTACCAAGTAATGCAGTAGATTATATTACTAAAACTAGAAAGTCCTCCAGATATAAAACATAAAATAAACATCATATCAGCATACCTCCTGTCCTTCCAAGGCCAACCTGCACAGAAGGTTGAAGGCTTCCTTCATTTTTCAACAAATGAGGCAAATGGTAATAGATATTTGGCACTTGAAGAGATTTTCTACTTGTTAGCTCTTTTAACAATTTCAGCGTCTCATCTGCAAACATACATGAAATCAGTAATGCAGAAAACAAACAAGATGAAGTTTTATGCAGTGGTAAATAATACAAAATTCCAAGTTTGGTCCTAACTGAAAAACAGAACAAATGATGCATTTTACTGAGGCATTATATCTTGTGTACAAAGGAAGTCTTTTCTCATTTTAATTTTTAAATAAACTATGGCCAAGATTATTTTCCACTCGGTAACCTTGCTACAGATATAGTTAATACTTACCTGATCACACAAGACTTGGTGTGTAGTCACAGAAGTAAAAAACGCTCCATTTATTTAGGTTGGTTTGGTTTTTTTCCCCAATGAATCAAAATGGGAGGCTTATTTACCTAGGTTATTTTTTACTTACGCTTACAGAGCTCATCACCATGTAGTGATGCCACTGCAAATAACTTTTCAAAGCTACAAATACATACTGGAATACACTGCAGATACAGATACAAAACAAACATAGCATAAAATACACAATTAAGATTTTCAGTATTTCTGCAATAAAATGAATGCTAACATGAATTTAATTTAGTCCATTAGAGTACTTAAAATAATTCTTGCTCCTTCTAGAATAACTGCCTCTCAGGATGTCCAGGTGGCCCTCAAAGTTGCAAATAACAGTTTTTAAATTCCCCTGCTGTGCGTGTTGATTTTCTTACATCAAGTGTGAAAACAACTCTTATTTCAAATGACAAACATGATAGCATATGGACCTTTGAAAACTTATGGGCTTTACAATATCAAGTTAAGTAAAAAACTGTACTCATGGTTTCCGAGAAAAAATTGAATTGTGCAGAAGTGAGAGAAGTAATGCCATAAATGTCATTCCTCTCAGATTCTGAGTGTAGTTTCCACAAAGCTGGAACAGTTTTGTTGTGAGTTTTGTTTTGGTTTTTTTTAAATATTTATTTTTGGGTGAAACTAAATTCCTCACCACTTATAATCTTGAAAAAATGCTTTGTAATAGATGCCATAAGTCGAGACACTAATTTTGATAGATTCCAATACAGGTACATTTTACTTTTCCTGCTAACATTTCCTTTAGCTTCAACTGCAAAAGCTGGACTAAAAATTCTCTCAAAATATGACAACTCTTTGTATGAATGAATAATGTTTTACATAAAACAATCTGGAATTCTTTCAGCTTCAAAGATAGCAAATACTTCATAGTATTATGTATACTTAAGTAGATTAAACTTAATAAAATCTATCGAATACTAAGTTCTGAGCACAAAAGCTCAGGAATTCAGACTTCAGCTGACTTCCCATCATGGCTCCCCATGGAAAAAAGAGGATGTCCCAGTTGGGATCCAGACATGGTAGAAAGTTTAAAAAGTGAATCGGTAACTTCAGCTGCATCAGAAGAGAATAACTCCCTATGACTACATTGTCTATAAGCAAGCTAACTCATTTTTAGAAATAACTGTGGTAATAACTTAATCATAAATCCAGTATCAAACTTATATGACTTCCTCTATTTTTGTTCGCTTTAACAGCAAAAACATACACACAGAAGAGGAAGACCAGAGTCACAGACTATGTTAAATGTAACCTTTATCTATACCATTCCTGGAGATCCAGGGAACTATGGAGATCAGGTTGGATAGGCCATTAGTGTCAGACAGAGCAATTCATCCTTAATATCAGCACTGAGGGCCTATAATTATAACCCTCCCCCCCCAAAGAAATTCTATAGAAGATAGTAACTCGTAGCACAAATGCAAGTAGGTAAGAGATTCAAAAAGCTTGATCCAGTTTTTTGATTTGCATAAATCTTTGGGTTTATATTCCTCATTAGGCCAATACTCACCAGAAAGTTTATATTTATTTGTTATTCATTTTCCATCTAGAATAGTCAGAGTGACTAAAGCAGTAATAGTGTGATTTTAAAAGTTAACTTGAAAACTGGTGAGTAGTGCGAAGGCATTCTCTAATATTGCCAAACACAGCTCTCAGTAAACTTGAGCATCAGCCTCCAAAACTGGTAAAAACTTATGGAAGACTTTACCAGTTCAACAATTAATGACTAGTTATTAAAAAGGACATTATCTGTACATTTTACAAATCATAACCAATACCTTAGATAGCCTGTATGTTTTTACATCTTCCAGCTGACTTTTAAACATATTTTAATTGCTTCAAGTTCATCTATTTCTTAAACACTGTTTGCTGACCTTTCCCCTCAAGCTCTATTTAAAAAGTGATGTAAATTATTGTCAAAATATAGTCAGTATGTTAAATAAGTAACCAGAAGTTCCAAACTTTTGGAGCTAGGCATGGAGTAAGTATTCAGTCCCTAAAGTCATAAGAATGAAGAGTGGGTGGATCATTAAGAATAGAAATAGGAAATCTGCACTGCTGAACAGTTTCATTCGGCTTTCTTGGTATTAATTTTTTATTCTATATTAATAAGAAGAGATATTAGTAGTGTAGAGTTATAAAAAATAGCTCAATCACAGTATGTACCTGAAAAATTATTCATTGCATTCTTACTCCCATTTGTTTCTGCTACTGCACGCCTGAACTGCTCCAAGATAGCGTTCAGCTCAGAAGAGCGCTGCAGAGTGCGATGCTCAGCTATACGAAGACGTTCCTTCAAAGCATGAAATTCCCGTTGATATGCAATCAACTTTTCTAGAGAGAAAAAAAGATGATCCTGGTTATTTTTGGAAACAAACACCTACAGACAGATCCAACAAGGGTCAGGGACTGCTCAGCTATGCAGCACCTGAAATTCCACCAAGAAGAGGGCACAGCCCAGCACTATCCCACCCGAGTTAGGCACCTTCGCATTTACACAGCATACAGAGGGAAGAGTGAGCTGCACCAGCCAGGGGTGCAAAGCAGGCACTGAAGGGGGTATGTCCCTCACTGTAGCCACAGACAGGGGCAACCTTTGAGTTCCCATTACTCAGCACCACAAGGCAATTCTGAACCTTTTCTTGGAACAGATGCCCACAAACCCTTTCTTTTAAGAAGCAGAATAGGAGTGGTGCCTTACAAAAGCACGTTATGCCTTTTGAAAGCCCCCTCTGAACACTTTGTAAGAATGAGTGGAATTTGACAATATTTCAGACATACCAATTTCAAACACAAGTTTTAACGATATTGTCAGTGCCTGCAAAAACAAAATTTTTATCAAAATCCTGCTAATGTAGATACATATATGTATTCTTTGAAAGGAGACCAAAAGAGTGAGGGAAACACCAAAACTCGTTTGCTGATATGTTGCCTATGCCCTTGCCACCCAGCAAAGTAAATATCTCTGGTTTGTGCATATTTCCTCGAACCTCGTGCTCACCACCATCACTCTTCTTCAGCCAATCTACAGATATGGACTGGAGTATCTTGAGTGATTTTATACATTATAATCAATATTCCAACCACACAGCTGTCATCCGTAGACATATCTTTTTTGCTATTTACCTATCCATTCCTAGCCTTTTAGTATTGCAATGGTAGGAAAGTAGAAGTTTTGCAAGCAATTTGAATCTCTTCCTGTTGCTACACTACAGTAACACATGGAGTAAAAAAGGAATTACAGTCAACTTTCCCTTGTAAATTGAAAGACATTGGAGGAAATGCAGCATTATTAACATTTATTTTCTTTTTTGTAGTTGGGATGTACTGTTCTGACTACATTTAGAAAACATAATTAGCTAAATTGCCCTCTGTTTTGAAGACAGAAAAATAAAAACATAGTTCACTACCTCTTAAAAACATTTCCCTTGCCAGCCTTATTTTCCTTTTTTCATTAAAACCAAATGGTTACTGCTTTTGTGCCAACACACCCAGAACACAGATGCTGGCCCACAATACAGTGCTAGGCACACTACACACTGACAACTGAATGCAGACGGCTATTTGAAACAGGACTTGGTGCTTTAGTCAGCAGTATTGAGAAGGCCAGGAAAATTTTCTGGAGTTTCTGGCATGAAGGACATTCTTACTTGCCAATGATAACCCAAAGAAATCAAAGATTGCCTGGAACCATGTCTACTAGTTACTGTAAGGTTACAAAACATTTTAACAGCTAAATGAATATAGAATTGTATTAGTGTAGAGGCCACACAAGTATGCGAATGATATCCCCTCCCCAAAATGAACGGACGATGGCAGGTTATACAGATAGCTGTTAATTTCTGTCTAAACAGGGAAGAACAGGTGAGCAACCAAAGAACATGCAAGGTTTTACTGGGGGCTTCCATAGCAGTGGATAGCCTCAGAAGCAGCCTGTAGCATCAGGTCTCCCTTCTTGTCTTTCTTCATGGTACAAGATAGCAGACAAACTTTGATACTTCTGTTCTTCCTACTTTGAAAAGGCTAAACTCATCTGTGGCAGTCTGTATTTCTCCTGGGAAAATGGTGAGAACCCTATGGAACCTGTGGTTCAGACTCCAGCACCTCAAGTAGGATGAATTCAGGTCTTTCTCTCTTGACTTAGACAAATTCTTGGCAGAGACCATTTCTCTTCCTGCACTTACTAAAAGATATCAGCACATCAGGCACAGTGCTCCAATGATTCTGGTGCTCTAAGGAACAGTCGAGTCTTAGAGGGAACAATTTACCTAGGAATATGTCAAACAGTGGAGAACCACAGTAGTTCCCCTGCCACCTCCACCTAGCAAACTCCATAATGCAAAATCTGAAATATCTTATTACTAAACTCAGTTGTAAACAGAGATTAAGATTTTTCTACCTCCCTAATTCAGGTAGGCAGTTTTATCACATGAAGAAATGAAAACTGTAGTTTCGTATTAAGAACTACCAACAAAAAAACCCTTACTGAGAAGATGACACTTTCAGAGGAGGTGACTTTTATAATACCTTTAATTTGCAATTAATATAATATGTCAAAAATAAAAAAGGTAATTAGTTAATTTCTTTTTAAAGAAATTTAAAATAATATATGTAGAAGTAAACTTTTATTTTCATAACTTATCATAGCAGTTTTTGAGCAAAGAACATAGGACCCCAACTGTGGCACTGTAAAATAGAATCACAGAATCATAGAATCACTCCCATCTACAAGAAGGGCTTAAAGGAGGATCCAGGAAATTATAGGCCCATCAGTCTTACTTCAGTCCCTGGAAAAGTTATGGAACGAATCCTCCTGGGGGCTATCACAAGTCAAATGAAACACGTGATTGGGAAAAGCCAGCACGGATTCACCAAGGCCAAATCGTGCTTGACAAACATGATCACCTTCTACAACAGAGTAACCTGCTCAGCTGATGCGGGGTAAGCAGTGGACATTGTCTACCTGGATTTCTCCAAGGCTTTTGACATGGTTTCCCACAGCCTCCTCCTAGAGAAACTGATGCATTACAGTCTAGACAAGTGGTCTGTCCGGTGGGTGGGGGAACTGGCTGACAGGCCGCACCCAGAGGGTGGTGGTAAATAGCTCCTTTTCAAACTGGCAACCTGTTACAAGTGGGGTCCCCCAGTGATCAATACTGGGCCCAATGCTGTTTAATATCTTCATAAGTGATCTGGATGATGGGATCAAGTGTACCCTGATGAAGTTTGCCGATGATAC